TAAAGGATGAAGGGAATTAAAAAATGCGTTTTTAGAGTTTATCAATTCTAAAGATAGGAAATTCTATTCCTAGGGAATGGAAAAGTTGCCAATACATTGGCAGAAATGTATTGATAGTGGAGACTATTTTGATTACATAAAACAGTTGTAAATTTTTTTTTTAAATTAAAAAGCCAGCATTATTTTCCGGACAACCTAATATTTTGTGAATAACAATGAAACTATGGATAAAAATCAATGAAAATTAGGTAAAAGTTTTTTATTTTGTTTTTTAGATGTGACGTTTTTGTGTGATAAAATAAGTTTTGCTTCACAAAATATTTTTAATGAAATTATAATTTTTATATAAGTTTTTAAATTATGACATTACAGGTATTTTATATATTTACAGGAAGACTTTTTTTAAACAAAGTGAGTTTTATATAATTTTACCTATACAATTACTACCATAGAGTAGTAAATTATATACTCAAAAAATGTCTTAATGGATGGTTCATGACTACTGATTTTTTTTTGTTTTAGAAGTTTGGAAATCGGTTTAGGAACTGAAACTGTATTAATCAGAAGAAAATAAAATTTCTTGTTAAATTTTTTTTTTATTTATCAAATAAAACTGGGATTTATTGAGGTCTTTTCGTAAAAGCAATAATTGTATATTGTTTAATATAATAATTAATTTGACAAAAATGACAGTTCTGAATGCAGGCCAGAGTTCTCGTTGGTAACTAGATAAGTAGAAAGATACAGTATACCTCTGGGGTAAGACAACAAGATGCCCTCTTAAACTTAGTGTTGCATAAAGCTATCGAGTGTAATAACAAAAACGGTACTTTGGCATGCCATCCATACCAGATTCTTGGTTAAGCAGATAACATTGATCTTTAGGCAAGAAATGTTGAAAAAGTGTTAAGAGACTTAAGAAATAGTCATCAAGCTGAACCATAAAAGTAAAAAAAATGGAAGACTTGAGTAAAAAACAAAACAAAAAACATACATAGTATTTTCCAACTTCTGAAGCAAGAATGCTTCATAATCATATATATATAACGATTACACCTCTGAAGATGTTGATGATTTCACATACCTCGGTGCTCAAACTAAATCCTAAAATAAGGGCAGTGATGAGATCAAGAGAAGAATAATGGGTAATAATAAAGTATACTATGACTATGGTCTTGTGAATTTGATCATGTCTCGGCCCTTTAACGCACAAAATTAAATATGAATTAAACTCTTATTAGACACATAGTTGGAAAAACAGGTGGGGTACAATAGAGTTGGGTACAGAATTCCAAAATGAAGGAACACAGATTATAAAGTATTTTTCAAAACAAGCTGTTCTTTCAAAAGATTAATAGAAACCGAAAGGTTGAGGGGCGGGGTGGCCGAGCGGGCTAACGAGTGAGTACTGCACCACGCGCTGCCTGGCAACCTGATAACAGAAGTTTAGAGGAAAAAGTAACAAATTATGTAACTGCATCTTTTCGTGTTTTTTTTACCAATTTACTAAAAGCAGCACATGTCTGATCCTCAAGCATTTTTTTTTTTAATAGGGATTTCTCTATTTCATTCTTTGCTTGATGGTATGTCCTCTTATTCTCCGTATAAAATTCTGTTGCTCTCTCTTTCACTAAAGTGTCTGCCATATCATTACTGTGCTATCTACAGTATCCTAGGATTTATAACTTCTCTTACATTAGAGTATAACTTCTCTCTTAGCAACAGCCCTATGATCTCCTGACAGTGCAGTGTCATAAAGTTCCATCTCTAGGTCTTGAAACAATGAGTACTAACTTAGATTTCAATGAATCTGGATTCAAGCTCAACTTATTTCCTGAAATCCAGTGGTTAACACTATTAATGTATTAGAGAAATTGGTACCTATTAGAAGATAACGTAGACAAATTTCCAATTCCAACTACTAAACAAAATTCACAACCCCCAGACCTACCAACAGGGATGGGAAAATTGTAGAGGCCATTAACAGGATGAACAACAGTAAAGCTCTAGATAAAGTTAGGACACTGGCTGAGCTCCTTCAGTACAATGACGAGACCTTTTAGAGATCCCTTTAGAATTTCATCCATGCATTTTGCAGAGAAGAAAATTATGTGTAATAATTGAAGAAGAAAAAATTATTTATTCTCTGCACAACGGGAATATCTTGGAATGCTCCAATTTCCACAAGATTTCATTTATGCTGAGTTCCCACAAAGTTCTTTTAAACATCATCTACTTACTTACCCCAAGCTCCATCCAATTTCTGAGAGACAAAGTGGTGAATATCAGATGGGTTTCAGAGAACCAATTTGATTTATATAGTTCATCAGATTTTTAGGCTCCAGATGAAACTGGAGAAATCATAAGAGTACAAGATGACGATCCATCACCTGGTTATTGAATTTCATAGAGCTTACAACAGCTTTAAGAAATCTAAACTTATATCCCACGCTGTGTAATCTAGGAATACCTCTCAAATTTGCTAACCAGATTAGGATGAAGGTAAGAATTGGAATTTATAATGATTTATAAATATGAGCTTTTGTTTCTTTTCCTACATCAAGGATACCAACTATACTAATTCATTACCTTAATCAGCATTCAAGTTTTCTTATCATTTATAGATCAATATTATACTGTTATTATGCAATCTGTCAGCAAATACAAAAGATAACTGACAAGTAAATACTATATTTCAATGTCTATTCTAACGTGCTTTAGATACTAATATAAGCATGATATACTTCAGTTGGCATTTAAGTGGGAGCTCATTCGAGAGTTTCTACTATACGCTGAATCCTGAAACCCACAAAGACTTCCAAAAAAGCAAATTTTTTTTTTGCATAAATATGGTTAAAATGTTATTTTGAGTCACCCTGAAAGATCTTAGCTTTCAAAAATGCATATTAAAGTTTTTATTAAATAAAAAAAAACAGGATATATGCCTTCCTGGCCGCACATAGCAATGCAAAATTAGAGCGGCAATCCCGCAACACTTCGTTTTCTTGCGTATTTGCTCATTTCTGAAAAAGAAGATAACTGAAAATGATCACAAAAATAACTGTAAGTGATCATAAAAATTAAATTATATTACTTCTTAAAAAAGGAGACCGATGGCGAGATTCGAATTATATATTTCTTTGCAGTTACAAATTTTTTTCTTACCTGAAAAAGTTCCGTATTGAAAATAATGCCATTATAAATTTTATTAATGCACTTACATTATTTTGAGTTTTTTTAACACTTTCATGTTATATGAAATATATATATACTGTTTTTAGGAGGATGGAAAAATGATAAATAAAATTAACTTATTAACATTTACTTTATGTATAAAACATTGAAATAGAATATAAATAAGATCATGGATATGACACAAATAACAGAGAAAGGACATAGCTATGGTTCAGAATAAATCTGCAACTGATAGCTTCCAAACAGTCAGAATTAGGAACGACTGCATTGAGTTAGCTACTGGAGACTAATGCAAGAATGCAGCAAGCCACAAGTCAAATGGTGAAGGTGGGACCTGCCCCTACCTGTTTGAGAGGCGACTGCCCAAGCGGGAAGGCATATATCCCGGCCGCACCAGTGACCCAATGCACTATCAGAAAGGTATATATCCCGTCTGCACCAGTGATCCAACTCTTAACGTGAAGGCATGTATTCCATCCGCAGTCAAAGGGTTAATGAAAGGGAATACTTTTATTAATCCATTGCTAAAATTATGATTCAAGCACACACAGATGGCTGCCAAAGAATTCTACAAGATAATTAGTATCAAAAATTAAAACTAATATACAATTATTAAATTTAGTAGAGTGTTAGTATGTTTCATGTTGTATAAACTTCTATTTTTGTTCAATATACTATTATTTTTTAAACTGCATTACATTTTATTCTCTAATACGTTTTGATTTATTTTTCATGAAGGCGTTGGGGGGGGGGGAGGGAAGGCTTTGTCGTACCACTCAACTTTTAGGTACTACTTATAGATAAATCATTGGCAAAATTATCTGCTATAGCAGTCAATAAACAGTGCCCTATAACATAAAATCTGAACGGTTGGGACTGTATTATCCTAACTCCTAATCAATAACATGATTCGGAGAAAACCATTTTATAAGCTTTGCGAGTTCCTGTGATAATAAATATATTTCAAAGTACCTTAATCGTTGAATAATTCAACTACTAAAACATTTCAAACCTATTTTGCATCTGAATGTAATTAATTTCAACATTAAAAACTAAGAATAAGAAAACCAAGTAAGGAAAATTACATCACATAGTTAATTTAGATTCTCAAAAAATTAGAGCATTTAAAGGAACATTTTATGGATGACCATCAACTTAGTCTACCAAATAACTGGTCTAAAACACATAGAGCAAGCTTCTATACTGAACATTGAGCTTATCGATGGCTATGGATCCATCTCTAAGGAACTAGAAGAAACAATTCCATAGATGAGCTCAGCATTGAGTTTAGTAACTCTCCCATACAGCAACCATTATTCAAATTACCTATAGATGTAAACTTCAAATATATCTATCAACTATGAGCAATTAAAACAAAAGGAATACTTTTTGACATTAAGGATCATAATCACAACTTTAATACATACATAACAAACAAAATATTACCAAGGAAACAAGTTGAAATGTTCAAGTTTTTAAGACATAAGTAGAAACCCCATCAGTGACATTTTCATAGTATAATTATAGTTTTTTTCAGAATCTTGAGCTATTCAAATAAAGAAAATACTACCTGGTTATATATTTTTAAACAAAAGTAACCTAATTATGTAAAACATAAAACTATTAGCACCCTAATGGCATTTGATCAACAGTCTTGATTGATTTTCTGTTTCACAACGAAAGATTAAACATAAAAATTAATTAGAAGAGTAGAAAATACTTGGCTTTAAAAAATTGTCTTATAAAACCAAATCATAGAAGAAGGTACAAAATGGGACAATATATTAAGAGAGTAATAAACCTACCTTGTTTAATTTAGGATGTTAGATTTGAAAAATAGTAACAGTCAACCATATTTATATCCGGTATAAAAAGCTTTCTTTAATGAGTTCCAGTTTCATAAAAATAGATACTAAACATTATAAAACCTTAACTAATTCATTTTCATTTAAAATATCAACAAGACGGTACGAAACGGGTCAATGCAACAGTGTTGTGGTAGGGAATCATATGTTTGTGGTCCTATTTTACTGTAATTTCATGAATTTAATTGAAATTTGTTTTTCTTGTAATCATACGATTTAAAATAACATGATAGAATTAACCACATTTAATAAAATGTTTAACATTATCAAGAAAAGAAAAAACTGCATTCGATAGAAATTTAAGGAATGACCGCAAATATTTAAATTGTATCTTAAATTTAGGAACTTATTGAAAGTCCCCGAAGCTTTGGTACAATTAAATAGTTTTGTTTATAATCCTAATCAAAATTATCTTCTATGGAAACTACAAATTAAAGTCCCAACTCTTCCACATCTCAGTTTTTTTTTTTATTGGTTAAGGTATACTTTTGAGACTCTCTATCTTGAACTATTATATCTACTCTATACTATTATACTACTGTACTTTGTTTCTAAAATTAAAAATGAGTATATGATTTACTCTAAACTTAAAAAGTTAAAGTGAAGTGATTGATGAGCTGACGTAATCTCTCCATAACACAAATGAGTAATTAGCCTATGAGACTTAGTCTTTGAAAAATTTACAGGTAAAAATTAAAATAAAAAAAAAACAAAAATGGAAGAAAACGAGTGTCAGTTTGTTGGAAAATTTGTAAGAAAAATTGGAACTTGAACACATACCAAACGTTGATATTTCAAATGGAAATAATCTTAAATGCTAAAGAATTGGATCTCAAGAATTCTGAGGTTAGAACAACCGATGAAAAGCAAGCATACCGAAGATTTGAAAATCAAGAATCTAACGAATTAATCAAACAACTTTTGAAAAAATCAGAGCCCTGATTTTTTTTAGTGCAAAAAAAGGTTGCCAAGGCTGATCTATGGGGGGAATATCAGGCTGAAGGCCCTCCCCCAAATGCTATAAAAAAATGTGTTATTGAAATAATATCAATAAATTATCACATAAAGTATTATTGTTCGTGTAATTACATTTAATTACAACTTCAAGAATGACTTAAACAGCATTTCATATATGTAGTTAGTTTCTTTTTTTTCCAAATTAATTATCGTTATACAGGATGTCCCGTAAGTAGAGGGAAATTTTTATAGGAGTAATAGCAGACCTTAAGACCTACAAAAAAGTTCACATAAACAATGGGCCAATTCTCAGCAGAAAAATATGAAATGCAAGTTTAGTATTTTTTAAGTAAGGCATGTTTTTTGATAAATAGGAAGCGATAACTAAAGAAATATTTAATTTAAGTAATTACAAATTGTTTCACTGTACAGAATTTGTCATTGTTAAAACCATTTAAAGAGGACTTTTCAGCGGCTAAACTAGGCTAAGTTCGGTTTTTAAAACAGATACAACAGTTTTTAAAAAAAATTGTCTTCTGTTACCTTTAATCTATCTGAAAAAAAATGTGAATATAATTTCTATCTCCAAAGTAATTACCGGTTTAATTGGGTGATAAATTGTTGGAACGCGGACATTTTAAAGGTTTTTATTGGTGTCGACGTTTCAACCGAACCATGTGGGCCCCCAACAGGACGTGTTTCGAGGGGCGTGGTAACTGAAACTGAAACTAAATATTACCTAAGTGCCAGTATTTGAACACCTTCAGTGCTCAAAACGCCCTGACAATGACTCACGTACTTGGGTTGAAACGTTGGCACCAATAAAAACCTTAAAAATTACTACATCCTGACTATTTATCAACGATGATATGTAGAATAGTCAACTAACTTCCTTTAACTTCCGTATTATAACATATTTTAAAGGTAATACGTGAATTATTTGATGAAAATAAGAAGAAAATAGTAATTCAATAGGAAGATGAGTTGATAAAACACTCATTGAATAGAAATTGCAGAGCTGTTTATAAGTTGCAACAGTGCGATAGCATGTATTCCATTGAAACCGATATTAAAACAGTAAATTCCTAAACTCACCGCTGAGTTCATCGATTGCTTCATTATGCTCAGTTTAGATGTCCATAGAGGAGTTCAGCTCTGATTCGAAGAACCTGCCCCTCCTAATGGAAGGTAATCCTTGTATCTATTTAATCTCAAGTGAACTAGTTTACTGTATCTATTCAATGAAAGAAACTGTTTAAATTAAAAAAAAAAATTACATCGGAATAACGCTGAAAACCTTGATTTCTTTACCATCACTATTCAACAAGCAATCTGGACTGTTTCCTTCCCAAATCTCTGCTGAAAACTCCCTGAGAAAAATAATTTACCTCAATACCTGATAGACCTAATTCACACCAAGCGTCCTGCTAGAATATTATGAATACGTTCCACACACCCCACCGATCATTACATTCTATAACTATTACACTAAACTAATAAAGCAGGAATTGACCATCTTCAGATCCCAATCCTCAACTCCTACCTCCTACTGACTACTCTCTCTGCTCATGACAATTTCCTATGGAAGAGCACCAAAAAAATCCTAAAATCCCATCATATTTCCCATCTCCTCCGTCCTGCGATCCCATGCGATGGCTCCTGGGCAGCGTCTGAAGACAAAGCCTAGGAATTTGCTAGACACCTCTCCAGAACATTCACCTCTGATCCGGAATCCAACCCCATCCATACCACAACAGTTGAAGAATTCCTTACATCACCTATTCCCTTTTCCTTACCCCCTAAACAGTTAATCCTTCAAAGGTCAAACATCACGTACAAAAACTTCCTCTCCGTAAATCTCCTGGATACGAGCTCCATATCTCTCAATTCCTCCGACAACTTCTTCCTAAAGCTATTTTATTTCTCACTTACTTATACAATGCCATCCTAAGAACCACCCACTATCCTCTTTTGTGGAAACATTCCACTATTATCCTATTTCCAATACCAGGCAACCTTCCAATACCTCGACGTCCTACGGACCAATTAGCCTACTTCCAATCCTCTGAAAAATATTTGAAAAAATCCTACCCTTTATAGAATCCCAAAATCTTCCTTCCCATCAGTTTGGATTTCGTCACATCACAACACTCCACAATCCAACAAGGGCTGCGGATGGTCATATTTCCGGAGCACTGGAAAGCAAGCAATATTCCTCAGTCGCATTTCTGAACTTAGCTGGAAACAGCTCAAGCTTTTAACCGGGTATGGTCGGTGGAACGCCGGGTTTCTTTCCAAGGGGTGCCCGAAGGGGGTTTCATGGGGCAAGTGCGCCATCAAAATTTTTGAGGGGGCATACTTTGAATTTTTGAGGAGGACAAATCTTTACGGGGTTATGCATTTTCTGACTAATTGACAAGGGTAACACATGGAACTGACATCAGCAAGTGAATTTATGTATGAGCTACGATTTTTTAAATTTTATCTTAGCTTGCTCTGTTTTAAGAAAGGTGTGGAATAAAATATTTTGAGAGAATGAGGAGGGAGGTAGATTCTTGGCATGCCGGGCTTCTTTCCAAGCTAAAACCCATCTACCCCAGTCCTTGTGCCTAATTCTCTGATCGCACCTTTCGAGTTCGCTGTGGTACGGAATTTTCCAATTCCTACCCAGTTGAAGCCGGTAAATCCGATTGATCACGAAATGCACTTAAAAACCTGAGCTGTAAAAACCTCAAAGTCCGCCCAGATACTCTGATTACTTTGTGATTCATCGATATTTCGTTTACCTAATTGCTTTCTCAGTATATTTACACTTATTTATATATTTTTATTACTTATAACTTTATTGTATTCCTAATCAACCTATAAATATTAAACTGTATTTTATGGACATACCAAAATATTAATATATATTCTGTATTCGTAACTTGTTCTAAAGGAACACTAGTCCCAGAAAACATTAAATTAACAAAAGTAAAATAATAACTAAAGAATAATCACATTGAATATTTAATAGTTGACCGTTGCATTATAAAGGAAGGAGATGGTCCGGGGTGGCGGTCATAAATAAGCTAAATAGTGGCAAAACTATTTTATTAAAAGACAACGTTTCAAACCGACTTTGCAGGTCTTCTTCAGGCCTAGAACGGGCAAAATACAAAAAGATATAGAGAATTGTAAAAGTTACATAATATTTAGACAAAAAGTATAAACAATGTGAATTAGCTTATTAAAATTACAAAAAGTAAGTACATTAAAATATAAACAGAGTAAGCTAAGTAACAAGATCCTAAACTGGTGCATATATTATATATTACACTACAACAATTGTTACCATCTATTTACTTCAGTTTAGGATCTTTTTAGGCACCTTTCGAGTTCGCTGTGGTACAGAATTTTCCAATATCTACACAATTGAAGCCGGTGTTGCTCAAGGAAGCGTCTTGGGCCCCGTCCTTTATATCCTTTTTACCGCTGATATCCCTGTCTATCCCCATACTTTTTTGGCGTGCCTACCCGGTCAAAAGCTTGAGCTATGTCCAGAAAAGGACCCGAGTAATATTGCTTGCTTTCCAGTGCTGCGGAAATATGATCGACCACTCGGAGTCCTTGTTGGACTTGGAGTGTTGTGAACGAAATCCAAACTGGTGGGAAGGAAGATTTTGGGATTTTATAAAGGGTAGTATTCGTTTCAGGAGGATCTTTTCAAATATTTTTGAGAGAAATGGAAGTAGGCTAATTGGTCCTCAGGACGTCGAGGTGTTGGGAGGTTTGCCTGGTTTCGGAAACAGGATAATAGTGGAATGCTTCCACAGAAGAGAAAAGTGGGTGGTTCTTAGGATGGTATTGTATAAGTAAGTGAGAAATATAATAGCTTTAGGAGGAAGCTCGAAGGATATGAGAGGCAAGGAGGTCGTATCCTGGAGATTTACGGAGAGGAAGTTTTTGTAAGTGATGTTTGACCTGAGAAGGATTAACTGCTTTAGGGGGTAATTGGAATGGGTGATGTAAGCAATTCTTCTACTGTTGTGGTATGGGTGGGGTTGGATTCCGGATAAAAGGTGAATGTTCTTTAGAGGTGTCTGGCGAATTCCTCAGCTTTGTCTTCATCAGACGCTGCCCAGGAGCCATCGCATGGACGGAGAGGATGGGAAATATGATAGGATTCAAGGATTTTGTTGGTGATCTTCCATAGAGAATTGTTATGAACAGAGGAAAGGAAGGTAGAAGTTGAAGGATTGGGATTTGAAGGTGACCAATTCCAGCTTTAATCGTTTACTGTAATAATTTTAAGAGCGGCAATCGGTGGGTTGAAGGAGGGAAGATGTTTACTACTACTCCTGTCTGATTTTCGCCGAATAGACATGAACCAAATCTTTTCGCAGAAATACATTCAGCAGCTAACACTTTTTTTATCTTTAAACTATAAACAAAATACATAATTATACTAGGTTGTAGTATTATAGTATGCTATAACATCGTGACTTTATTTATCTATTATAGATTAAAAGAACTTTTTTATTCGCATATATTAATTCTAAAATGGCGATGGTTCTGCCGCTAAGTGGCCCCGATGTTCTTGATATACGGACATCTATCCAAGAACAAAAACATGAATTAACTGCAAAAAAAAAAAAAATTGAGCACATTTTCATTAAATCAATTCAAGAAACAATTTTATTTTTAATTTTTAAAAGAGCATTGTAACAGATTTCAAAAACAAAGATGCGGATGTTAGCACACAAACAGTAAGGAGAAGGCTTGCTGAACTCAACCTGGAAGCTAGAGTTCCCCCTTGCGGTTCTCAACTCACTGCAGCACACACAGAAGTTCGTTTTCACTTTAGTCGTGAACATGGTGCCTGGATAGACGATGATTAGGCATCTGTTCTGTTTTCTGACAATTCAAAGTATAGCCTTTATGGTGCAGACGGACTAGTTTAAGTGTGGAGAAGATCAAGTAAGCTATAAGCTCAGTGCAATAAAGCGGGAACAGTGCAGTTCGGAGGAGGGTCCATGATAGTTTGGGTGAAATACTTTTAGAGTCACCACACGGTGCTCCTAAGCATAGTCGTATCGTACAGCGAGAGATGCGGAATGCAGATATTGTGGAAAGAAATGCCATTTTTAAGAGGAGTGTAGACAAAAGCATCAAAATAAGTCATTCCTACATAAAAAGACTAATTATTCTCATTATGTAGCTTCATTATGCCTCTCCACACTATTGTGTAAGCTAAGGTTAGCAATCTCGATGCTCATGTCCTTATTGACACTGGTCATCAAGTTTAAGAATTTGCTTGTAACATAAGATCCCTTTTAGGTCCTGTAAATTCGAACAGGTATCCATAGCTTCGACAACTTTTATTAAAGCTATTACTAAGCCCTAATCATCTTCAAGATTATTTTTATAAAGATGTCGTTTTCAGCGTCCTGTCTGATTTGTGTGCAGATATTATAATTGGCCATGACATTCTTAAAGGAGGACTGATCAAATCTACCCAGCCATTTGAAAGGCTCAATATTGATTTCAAGGGACCATTGCCATCTCTGTCGTGGAACCAGTATCTACTTGCTATCGTAAACGAATTCTCTCGTTTTCCATTTGCCTTTCCCTGCTCTGATGTGTCTGCTGGGACTGTCATATCTAAGCTTAAGGATATCTTCTCAACTTTCGGTATCCCATCCTCCGTTCATTAGGATCAGGGCTCCAGCTTCATGTCGGCAGAACTGAAATCTTTTCTGTTTGAATTAGGAATATCTTCTAGTAGGACAACACCCTACAACCCGCAAGGTAATGGACAGGTGGAACGATATGTTGGCATTGTATGGAAGACAATGGAAGTGGCATTAAAGAATGGTGAACTTGATTCAACAAGATAGGAAAGTGTTCTAAATGAGGCTTTACACTTTATCAGATCTCTGCTGTGTCCTGCGACGAATGGAACACCACATGAAAAATTCTTCAACTTTCCTCGAAGATCTTATAATGGAATAACAACACCCTCTTGGTTATTAAACCACGGACCTGTTTTATTGAAGAAAATGGTGAGACATTCAAAGTGTGATAATCTCGTTGAAGAAGTGGAACTTATTGAAGGGAATCCTCAGTACTCTTTTGTGAGATTGCCAGATGGGAGGTAGACATATGTATCTAATATATTTCTGGCACTTCCAGGCTCAATAATTGAACCACGAAATGAAGGAGGTTTAGCTAACATCCCTGGGACACATTTGTTACCAAGCCCTAGTGAGGTCCTCGACAATCAGTCTGCAAAGAATATTCCATTAGAAGAAGGCCAGATAGAAAACAATGAATAATCAGCAACTTTTAGAAAACGTAAATGAGACTTGTGAGTCTTCTGAACTCCTAAGAAGTTCTAGAATTAGAATTTTTCCTTCATACTTGAAGTACTACTATACTTAAGATAGTTCATTGATCTATTTTTCATTTCTTGTTTATTTTTCTAAAAGGGGTGTGGGGTGAATGATATGATATATTGTGATCTAGTTATCAACTGTTTCTAAAAACATTTGATAACAAGATCACACACTAACAAGGTTAGTCCCTTAACCTTATTAATTTAGTTAGTCTCATTATTGTGTGTTGAATTCAGTTTAATAAAGCCTTTATGTTTCATGGTATTCCTTATTTATCTATATTATTCTATAACATTATATTTGCTGTTAAGTTAGATTTTAACATTACGTTTGCGGTTAAGTTAGATGATGGTGTTTCCCATAGTTTGTGAAAATGTCTAAACGCACATTAAGAATATGTTCAAATCTAAGGAATATGTGGTAAAAGTTGTCTTTAGGAGATAAAATTGACAACAACCAAATTTGATTCAAAACCATATGGTTTTTCAAAATGATCCGGACTTCTGCCGAGGTCGAAAACTTGGGTTTATAATAAACCATCTATCACAAATAGCGTATCAAAAAATAAGAACTATCTCATTTGATGCGAGGTATCTCCCTTTTCACTACAATTTTACTTGACCATTTTGTTCATATTATACCAAATTTAGCTTGTTATTACAGGTATATTTTATAGTGGAAATACAAATATCAGCACAAAGTAGTTTTTAGTTTTAATTCCTATAATTTTAGGAGCGCCCCTTTTAAATTTTTATATTAACAGAAGTTATAAAAATAAGACGTAAATCTCCAAATCACGTAGTTTATTTTTACAGTACTATCCAACATATTATATTATTAAATAACAATATAAATTTAATATAATAATTTTAGTGTTTGTTTACATATACTATGGATATATGTAGGTATACATTCATCATTATTAAGAATCTTTATTAAAATGTATGGACCTATTTACATTCTAATTGTTTTCGGTAAATGTGTAAGTTTATATAAAGAAAAGCAAAATAAGTTATAAAATGTATGTTAATAATTTACACAACCTGCTCTAACAAAAGTACAGCCGTGAGGCTATCTGGGCTATGATAATTGATATATCGTATAACCACTACTACTTTGAACTGTGATCATACTGAATTTTGTACAATATAATTTTAATAACAGTGATTACAATAAACTTTCCAAAATTCCGGTCCCTACTAAAAAACGAGAGTGTGCCTACCCGGGTAGAAGCGAGGCAGGCAAAATGAACACTAAACGGAAAAATCGTTCAAACTCGAACTCTGCCAGGTATGTGATTTTATTTAAGTTAATTTTATGGATTGTATTTGAGAGAAAATTTTAGTCAGTTTGTGAAATAGTTGTAAAATATATATAAATTTTCTTTTACGTCTTTTGTTTTTATCTCCATTTCAAAGGTAATTTTTTCTTGATTTGAAAACAAATGTTTTGTAATTATATTACCGTATGTCTTTTGTTTTAGCATGTCTCCATTTTCCTTTTATGGAGTAAAAATTTAAGTTGGTGGATGCCAAAATAAAAAAAATAGAAACTAATTAAGTAATCTTTCACACTTATGACATTGTTTTAGTTGGATTTTGTTGAAATTTCGTTTTTATTAAGTCAGGGATGTTTTGAAATTAAGATTTCTTGTTATCATTGTTCAATTACTTTTTTACCATCAGTGCTGGCTACTTTTTAATGAATTGGTTATTGTATTTGACAAATCAGTATTTGTTTGTTTCAGTCAGATTTTGTTTTTATATGGTTAGGTCTTCTTAATATATGTCACATGGGTTTGTTAAGTTTTGTTTTGGTTATAATTTGATTAAAATTCTGTACTTGGTTTTATTTCTAATTAATAAGCAATATTTTGGATATGTTTAAAAATAAAGGTTTTGTTTTGAATTGAATATGCTTATTGGATAATTATTTAATGAATCTTAGTAATTATTAAATTTATATTTTTTTAAAATAGTAAATTCACATGTTGGGGTGTGTATATTGTTTTCTTAAGGTATTCAAAATTACTTTATTAAAATGATGAAATGGTTATGAATACTTACAAAAAGTATTTGCCAGTGTTATGTAGTTGATTTATTTTCTGCCGCTGTCTCTTATTTAATCTTAATGTATTAAAATATAACCAATATATCTGTGGTTATATTTATTATGTTTTAATTTAATTGCACACAAATTGTGAGTTGTTCAACTGAATTCTGTATGTATGAATTTAATAGGAGCTTTATTTACCAATTTAATTGTATTTTGTGGCTTAAGTTGGAAGAGTTTTTAACCTGATAATAGAAATTAAGTAGGTGTGAGGTATTTTTGGTTTGTTCAGGTGTATCATTTTATCCTTCGCTAAAGCATAGGCATTGGGTGCTTTTAACTCTAGTGGACGGGAATGAATAGCATCAAATGTGTATTAAGGGTCATATCATTAGAAAATAAGTTATGACTAAGTACATTTTCAGAATCTTCAGTTTAAGTTTAAAATAATGGAATGAAACCAACTTTAATAAAGGTTTTCCACAATTTTCTGGTTTCAACTCAACTTATATTAATCTTTTAATCCAATTACAAAATAAATTGGAGGGAGTAGGTGTCTGTGGGTGAAAGTGACTCTTTCTGGAATATAGAGCGTGATTCATATTATTTACTGTTTATTTACTGAAAAAGTTTCTTTTTGTGTGAACTAATGAACAAAAAGACTTTTATTTTGATTGAGATGATTTTTCTGTTTTATTATCTCGGTAAGTAATATTCATTAGCAGTAATATAGGTTACATTTTGAAGAAATATAGAAAACATAATATCTGATTAAGAGTTTGATTTCAAAAATCAAATGTTTATTTTTTAATTTATGCTGTGGAATTGTCTATATTTTTTATTAACTTCCGCTTCTACTCAAGCACTTCATTAGGGTTGTCTGGTTCTAAGTTTGCCTTTTTGCGAAATTTTTATAAATACTATTGAAATTGTTGGTTCAAAATATCAACATTGTATAACTTCTATTTACTGTACATCACATTCTTGATTAATATGATTTAATAGTAGCATAACTATAGCGTATTTTAAAGTATCAATAATTAACCTTTTACCCAGAATAACTCTGGATACTCTGTTACATGGAACATTGTCATGAAGATCACTACCCAAGAAAAATAAAATTTTCTTTCATTATTCTTCTGACAAAACTGAAAACAATACAAATGATTTTTATATCGTAAACAATTGAATTATATTAAACAAATTTTCCTTTATTATACAAATATCCAATGTGCTTTTTAAATGTGCACTTAATTGATTTATATGATTACTTATTTGTCTCTACAGTCCTCGAAATCCTCCTCCAGTCTTGTTGATTCAGAGATTTAGTTCTTCAACCCATTCTTTTCAGTTCATCCTCTACGTTGTTGAGCCAACATTTTTGTGGATAACCATTTTTCCTTTTTATACCTTGTAGTTCGAGAATATCAATGAACGGGAATTCATCAAAATAGTAATATCCATAATCAATATAGGTTATCTTATCCATGTCGTTAAATCATCTTCAACATGAAATCAATTGAAACCAATTACAATCCTGATAACGAAATCTAAAGAAAGGAGAATAAATGAAAAAAATGTCAGTTGCTTTATGTATTGAATTATTTTTTTTACTATTACTATGGATGGTGCTTGTCATATCACAACTTGTAAAACTACTTACAGTGGTTTAGAATCAGTCCTAGCAATCAAGATCACTATTAAATGTAGACTCTCCACTTTGCAAACTCTGTAGTTTGTGAGCGCATATGGATCCCCGCATTTAAGTGTATGCTCGCGCTTATTGAACATAAGAGTTACCACATTGTCCAAATCAGGATGATATTGGCCTGTAAAGTCTCCGATGGTTGATGCTGATAAAGAGAGGCATAATTAATAAAAAAAAAAAAAAGAACAACACTATTAAATGTAGGATTTGAGAAAAACTTTGGTGTGTGCTTTAGGCCATACGATAAAAGTGAAAACGTCAAGGCGAGATTAATAATATAAAATACACATTTTTTTTTTTTCTATTTTCACTCAGTAATAACATTTACAATATACACAATTATAGTTGTGTATAAACTATTCTTTGTTCTATATTCACAAAGTAATAATGTACACAATATATACAATTATAATAGTTAATAAATTACTCTAGTAAACATTGCTCTGACTTACCTTCATTTATATCATAATCTATAAATGATACAAAAGGTTTATGATAACTAATACATGTGATGAATGCTTTTGATTAAAATCTATTTGCTAAATATCTAACGAAAATTCCATAATTTTTTAATTATAACTTCCGTAACGGGGTTCAGTAATTTGTCGAACTATTGAGCGGAGTGCAACAGAAAAGCGAATAGAAACACATAAATTCTTATTTCTTCTTTTTATGGCTAATTAAAAAAATATTTATATTGACTTCCGTGTATTGGTTTATGAATTCTCCTTGGTATTTAAGTTTTGAGAAGTTTTAGTCCGAATGTTCAAAACAGTCCTTATTTTTGAATTAAGTTTTATTATTATAATTATATTATTTTTACAATAGAAGCCTTCTTAAACGACCTCTGTATAGAATAAAGCAAGTTAAATTTAAAAAATATATAAAAAATAAAATAATAAATTAAAAAAATTGTTTAATTGTTTTTGATAATTAAATTATTGCATTAATATTTTTTGTTAATACAATCAATATAATGTCCCAAAAACATTATTATAGCACTATAACTAAGCCATTTATGAGTAGTGAATGGTCTGGTAGAAGCCTGTAGGCAACTACGCCAGTATCCCTTTTCTACGGAACTACTTCAAATATTTTAAAAAGTAATCAGTGTTTTAGAAAGAGAAATATATTCACCAGATGTTTTATTTCAGCACGTTTTACGTTATTGTTGGACGTTAAAATTCCAAATGACGCTTGATTTTCATCTTGAAAATTCTTTTGTTAAAAAAATTGACTTTACTGATGTTTTTATTGCCTAAGCCAATTATTTTTTAATACTTGTTTTATTATTCTCTGACTATCCAGCATTAATAAAATACCAACTATGAAGTAATTGAGCCAAATGCTGATTCTCAGTTATCAAAAAACTAACTGAAGTCAAAGTCAAAGTCCGCCATGTTTGGATGCCATTTCGGGGCAATGCGTTCACTTTTTTGTGTGGGAACATTGGTTTTTTTCTAAATAAATAGTTACAAGGAACGCAATGATATGTAATTTATAGGGTGTGGGAGGGAGAGGGGGTCCACGGTAGTGGGTTCTGGCCCACAGACTATTAAGTCCATACTAATTAAACTGAGATTAGTTACATAAGGAGTTGAAATTCACATTTAACTGTACACAAAAATTATAAATCAAAGATAAATCATTATAGGTGTGGATGGTTGATCATAATTATAATTTGAGAAGATATTGGTCGATGTCTGGGAGACTAGTCTCCCAACTGCTTCTGGCAGTGACGTATGGAACGCCCTGAAGAAGACCTACAGCATAGATTGAAACATTAAGAAATATACTATTATATGATATAGTATTATATTTCCCTTACCAATTTCTACTCAAATTATAATAGCTATCTCCACACCTATAATGATTTATCTTTGTTATTTTTGCTCAAAAACAGATACTTAGCTGTAATGGAATAGTTTTCGTATACAACTAAAGGTCAATCTCAACTCATTCTGTAACTAACCTAATTACTATGAACTTAAAGCACATCAGGTAAGGAAGTTATCTAAAAGTGGGGTTTCTTTAGTCCAGTTGGAGTGTGATGAAAAAATAAAAAGAATCCATCAAATTACCCTTCAAATGTTTTTAAACAAGACAAACTCTAGTTGTATTAGAAGAAAATCTTGTATATTTTACTATGAAGAAATTGTTAATTACCTAAATATACCTTAACCAAAATATACATCATTTTCTCGCCTTTATGACAATTTTATTGGAGTTTAGATAGTTGAGGAGCTGATGCTGATTAATATGACTTTTTTTTTCATACTTTCATCTATTTCTAACAATTGTGTCCTTAGAGAGCTAATAATTAGACATGAATCAGCTGGAATATAAAAAGAAGGCCTATCTAATAGAATGTTTACGAACTTTCCCTTGATCCTCAAGTGATTTTGGAACTAGCTTGTTTGATACTATAAGTAAAATAAAGTTTTACCATCAAATACTTATTGCTATTTAATGAATAAAACTGCACACCTGAGAAATTCCAGGTGCTGGGTCTGTGGACCTGATTAATACT